GGGAAAGACATCATTATCAAACATATTATGTGGTGCATATATACTGTGGCCGGTCTGGTCTATGTTGTCATGGTTTTCTTTGCTCCCTGACCTACCCATAGTGCCCCACAGCTCCCAGCATGCAACATATATCCTATACCAGGTTGATGAAGAGACAGAAGAGTGTGTCTCGAAAGCTCTCCGGAGTCACAAACTCTTTTTGTTGTGTGTAAATTGTTTAAAATATTTGTCAAAACATATATCCTGAGGACTAACCCCCAATTTTTGTTGAAGTCCCTGCCCTGGGCACAGATACATTCCTCAGCATCACAGCGGTTGTAGCGCTGCAGCAGCTCTTCAAAGGCATTATCCTCCAGCTCCCAGGATGCATCTCTGCAGCAGTAACAGACAAATCTTATCTGTTCATGAAATACAGATGATTCATTGAGTTGTGTGTCTACCAGGTATGAACATGATTGAGATCAAGACCAGCAGTACATGACTTATAGCGTCCCATGCATAAAGCCCTCTAACAGAACGATATGATCTGACCAAAACTAGAAGATGAGCAAGTTAAACCTTACTGTTCAGGAATGTAGATGCCATTCTTCAACATTTCCTGCTGGAACGCCTCCTTGGAATTACAGATCGGGCAGCGGAAGAAGTACATTCCTGCACTGGAAGCCTGGTGCTAATGGAGACCAAAAAACAAAAACAAAAACTGCAGAATCTGAACTGATCAATCTGTTGGCATAATACAACATCTTTGCAGGGCCTGGCAGCTAACTGGCTATATCACAACAAACCTAAACCATTCATATCTAGCTCTAACCGTAAAAGGTTGATGCCATAGTTTCATCATGATGAAAATCACTGCAAATTGTTTTTCACCACGCCAAAAAGTTACTAGGATAATGTTCCTATGATGTGCCTTACCTGGACACAATCCCTGTGCAGCCATGTTCTCTTGCAGCAGGGTGTCTTCAACACATTGTGAGAAGGTTTGGGAGTGAGGCGGTACATACAGATGGGGCACACAGGGTTCTTCTCAGGAGTGTCCAGGATCATGTCCTTTGAAATGACCTGCATCGGACGATGCTCCCTACAGTAGGACCTGTGAATGTGTGAGATGCATCACCTGGACTGCTTAGCCTTAGCTATATTGTATATGGCTAATAATTTCTTAAAAAGCTAATAAAAATTAAAAAGCATTATGCTTCACCTAGGATGAGAATGACTGCTTTACCTTTATTTAATTTTTTAATTAATCATAATGAGTAACAAGTGGGAAAAAATAATCAATTTAAGTCAAGTCATTTTAATTTAAGTCAAGTAATTTTATTAGGGAAGCTATTACTATTGGATTAATGTGACCTTGAAAACATGATATTATCATTGCAAATAAAATGTTTGAAATTCGACTTTCCCTACTTGAAGTCATCGAAGAACAAATGCAGACTTCCATTGTCCATTCCACAAGGCAGGTGAAACACTGCCCTGCATTTCTTTGTGCAGCATCCGATAGTTGCACCTTTCTGCTCACAAAAGTTGCACTTCTGCAATGACAAATAACATACTTTTGTTGTAAAAACATCAACAATTGCACGACATATCTACTACCAGTTCAAACAAGCAAAACTCATGTAATGTACTTTGCTTTTGCTTTAGTTATCATTGGTTGTAAATCTTAAGTATTGTGATGCAATGATTTTTATACAATTTTTCTGTGAATTCAAGGTTAAGACACAACAACAATAGATATCTGCTATAAAACATAGCCAATGACCAACATAGCCAATATAGATAATAATATGAATCCTACCAGTCTCAGACCTCTTCTATATTCCTTGATGACTTCCTGTTCTCTAAATCCATAGATGCCCTCCTGCTCCCCTCCCTCCTGGTGAATGCCTGATGACAACAGCTGAAAAACATGAAAATTCCTTGGTCACCATGCATCACTGGGAAAGTAGATACTAGTAGTCAAACATATTACTCAACTCTGCTGCCTTTCAGAAAAATTCTTGTTTGCCAATTACGGCTTAAGGTGACAAAAGTAGAGCTTTATAGTTTGTCTATGTTGGTAGAAATCATACTGAAACAACTGTTAATCTGAAATTTCCAACACAGAATTTTTTTTCTTCAAATTTCAAATGTTGAAATCCAGTCTGTAGGGATGGCAACGACTGGAGTTAGACAGTCAAAAATTTAGGTAATGGTAAGTCTAATATTTGTGCTTGTAATTACAGGTCAGCCTTGCTTTAGAACAAAAGAAAAGCATATGAAGACATGAGAATGCATGTACTAGTACACTTACCAGACAGAAATAATGGACAGTGATGCCACTGTCTCTGTCTGTGATGAGCTGTCCATACTTCTGCTGTTGATTCTCACTTCTCTTACAGAATAGACAGGGTGGTAGATCTGAGTAACAAATACAACACATCTTATAATAGTACCAGTTCATATTTCTCGACAGAAAGAGAAACAGACACATTTGTGACAATGAACATTTTTTTAATGGAACAGTCACACACTGATCATTTACTTGATTTTGACCTTATTTATGACAACTTTGACGTTTTTCTTAGTAAGACTGGTATAACCAAAAACATAAGAAATACTTGTTCTTGCTTACAGTACCTGTGGTTCTCGATGCCGGGTAAATGGTGAGGTTGGGAGGGACCTTCGCCTTCCTGTCCTGCCCGGGGGTGTGGGGGGTCGGAGAGAGCTCCTGGCCCCGGGGTGAACTGCCGGACATGGCTGACTCTCCTAGCTGTTCACAGGGACCAAATATCAGGGCAAACACCTGGGCATCTTACTCAGTCTGTATAACGTTCCTGGGTGACAACAACATTGATCATGAGCACATGGCTTCTATAAAATCATTCACCAACATACGATTTAAATTTACATATTTTCACTTTCAGTAACTTCAACATGGCGCTTCAAATATTTGACAACATCCATCGCTTGGCGTTACGAAAAAACAACTGTATAAAACAACGTTTGATAAATCTTTCCTACTCTAAACATCCGTATTGCAACGCAGGTTTGCGCGGGAACTTTCCTACTTAGCTTCGACTTGAATAGGCTGTGGCTATCAAATGACCTGAGTTCTCGTCTCGCCCGCAATTTTCCGTCATGGTCACACCAAACATGTAGGCGCGCCTGTGTAAAAGTCGCGCCCAAAAGGCGACGAAGTAGTGATCCAGACATGTTATTTGACTGCTATGGATAATAAATATGGTATCATGGTCATATGGACTGATAAATAAGGCTTTTTACCTGTGAATACTCTGGCGAGGCAGCGCCAACGCTTTGTGTCCAGCGCCCTGCTTGAATGAGGGGTGTGAAAGGTCAACTTTCAAACGGACGGCGGGTAAAAACGTCATCACTCGGGGACTGTCCAAGAATGCATCTATCATTATCTGCCGTGTTGAATGTATGCCAGAATTCGGAATACAAATTATACAAAATATCTTTCTTTTATAACATAAACTGTTAAACGATTGGTAAAACGTTTTAATGGTCTATTGAGGAGACTATGATAAGAAGAAGAATGTCATTTTTTGTGTATTAATGGACAAGCCCTACTAGTGTACAGTATTGCGTCATCTATCGATATTCTTCAGTACTACAGGGAGAACTGCGTTGACCATTGTGCAGAACTGTTGTAGTGTTGGAGTGGATCTCCCTCCTGGAGATTATTTACGGAGGATGGCGACTCCTACAAAGGTGTGTACATCATAGTCCTAGGGACAGCTAACACTGTTCTCATGTACCATTTGGTGCATAGTTTGGGCAGTGGCATGGACTGTAGAAAGGGCAACATGAACAACTCTAGATCTGTTATGGGGGGGGGGGGGGGCGTGGTGTTCTTGATCTAACTTCTAAGGCCATAGTTCACCTGTCATGTATGATCATGTTAGATTTGAGTGTGTATCCCCGTTAACATACTAGTACCTGCATTCCTTTCCAACTTCATGAATGTGGCTTGAGATTTATTTCGACCACAGATCCAGTTTGACAAAAGACAATTGTTACTGGCATGTCATGAATCAGCAAGTTTCAGCCATGGTCAGTCCTGCAGCTGCAGCATGCTATACTCTGCCAAGTTTATAAATATTCTGACAAAATCCCGAATCCAGTAACTGCTGCTGCCACAGTGGTACTCCCATGAGTCCCAACGAGGTGTTGCTATCATGTTTCTCAGATGGCATTCGTTATAACAGTCAATGGCAAACAAACAACTTGTTGTTGTTGATTTTATCCATCAGATGGAGTTTGGTGTCCAGATGTCATGTCAGAGTTGTGCCAGTGCTGTAGAAAATGCCCTCAAGGGTGTAGAAGGTGAGTGTTTTGAAAATAGGCAGCCAATAGATTCTCACCACAGAGTGTAGCCAGAAACGTACAACTATTTTGACTACTTTGATGTCAGTAAGATCTTTTTCTACACCATTGACAGGCTGAGCCTGAGCCATTGACAGGCTGATCCTGTCAATAAATAAGAATTCTTTCACTATTGACAGGGCAGCCTGTCAATAGTCACTGACTTTCAACTATTTCCTACCCTCTGCAGGTGTGCACTCCTTCAGTATAGACCTGTCTACAGAACAGGTCGTCGTGGAAACGACCCTTCCCTCAGCAAAGGTCCAGGAACTATTGGAGTCCACGGGCAGGAGGGCAGTGGTCAAGGGCATGGGGCAAGGTAACGGTCTTCATAGCTGCCAACCTGCCATTGTGAATGTGATGAAGATAATTGCAAAACAAAGTCTAAATGGCAGTAGGTTAACCACACTTCACTGTGGATGTCACAGGCAGTGTCTTTCATCTGGGCTTTGGTAACATTATTTGATGCAGAATACTATTATCTCATCACACTACATGTAGTTTCTGTATGTTGGTCTTAACAGAAGCAAAGCTGTTAATACAAGTTTAAAGTTAAAACTTTTGATCCAACACAAAAATTCTCTCACCTAGAGCTTTCAACCAGTCACTCTGGTCTTCCTCAGTAGACTGACCCAGTGAAGCTTGTCACGTGGCTTCTTTGAAGTGTGACGTCAACACAGGGTCAAAGGTATCTGGTAGACGATGTCGGCCCCCGTCGCGGTTCACTGTAGGGTGATGG